CAATCTTTGTCCTATTGCAGACAACGAGAGCATTTGAGATGAGACAGTCCAACATATTAAAGCAATTTTATAATTAGACAGTTTATTGGTTGTCCTTGGGGTACCCATTCCATTTGTTGTTGCAGCTCCCCTTTTACTGTGCCTCTTACGTACACGGCTGCCCATGCTGATTGTGGTTGAGCGGCAGCTGCCCACATCCCCGTGTGCCTTCACGGCCGACTTGCACGTTATTTCAGGAGGCAGAGTAAAAGGGAAGGTATGCTCCTGTGCATTTCTCTTCAGGCCTTCATACTCCTGTTCATTTCACTTGAAATCTTCCGCTTCTACTTAGTCTTTGAGTCCGTCCTTCATCTCGTACTTCCTTTCCTTTCATTTCTGATCTTCATATCGTCTGTTCTCTTAACAATGCTCATTCGTATGTATTTGTTAGTAGCACAAAGGAGTGGAGGGGAACATGTTGGGTTGAGGAGCAGTTAATGCCTATGGCAAGCGGCCACCCCTACAGACCGGACAGGACCGGTTTGGATGTGGACTATGGAAGCACCGCATCCAATTCTCGCAGTCACAGTTGCTGCATCGAATGGCGTGGCGCAGACAGATGTCACAAGCTACGTGGTCCCTACATGCTTAGGAACACTGACGCATGCCCAATGGGACAATGCGCAGGGAGCCAAGGATCCGCTATGTGATGAAAAGGACTGAAATGGACAATGCCAGGTCAGCGTAGCATCAACAAGCAATGTACAGTCCGAATACATACAAGATGGCACAAAATGGCGCAGTGGAAGACTTAAAGAGAAGATCTGATCTGATCTGGACTGACCCGACATCCATCACACATCACACATGAGAGAGAGAGAGGAGGGACCGCAATCATGGAAGAAAGGTCCCTCCTTCGCACACATACATGGGGAGATACCACGGATGAGAGATGGGGGAGGGACGAGACGAAGGAGGAAGGAGGCGAGGGAGTAGACCAAGATCGCAATAGCGAAGTCCCAAAAATAGTCCCTTGCCGAGTGTCCAATCAATGTCTGTCCCAGAGATGTCCAATCACATCCTGGGCAATGCGCCCTGTATAACCTCTGCCTGAATCCCTACTGATACCCTCTCACACTCTCAGATTCGAAGAAGAAGATGAGAAAGAGGAGAGAGAGAGAGAGAGAGAGAGAGAGAGAGAGAGAGAGAGAGAGAGAGAGAGAGAGAGAGAGAGAGAGAGAGAGAGATGGAGGAGGGAGAGNAGAGAGAGAGAGAGAGAGAGAGAGAGAGAGAGAGAGAGAGAGAGAGAGAGAGAGAGAGAGAGAGAGAGAGAGAGAGATGGAGGAGGGAGAGAAGAGATGAAGTTCTCCTCACTATCTCACCTGCAGGTCGCTGCCACCGTACTGATTGTGTCCGTCGTCGTGTGCAGGTACCGCGTGGAGCCCAGCTATGGCGCCAGGTAAGCAGGTATGGCCTCCGCCACTCCCTATCTCCTCTATGCCTCTCCTCTCTACTCCGCAACCTAGCGCAGTATAGCGCTCTCCTAACCAGCAGCGTGTCGCCCAGAAGTGAGCTACCCGAACTGTCCCCTGCCCAGCCGTGGCCCAGCTATTTGTAGCGCTGGGCGGCTGGGCCTACCTGGTGCTGGCCTCAGAAAACGGCCCAGGTGGTCTGGGTTCCTACTGGACATCCAGACCCTGCTGCTGATGCAGCATGGCGCAGAAATGCGCCTGGCCTAAAAACGGCCTCCTACTGGTGCACCTGGCCCAAGGTGTCGTCTTGGGTCCTGCAGGGCCGAAACAACGCCTGTACCTACCGGTTTGGCGCCAAAATGCGCCTGGCCTCGTTTCGGGCCTGCCTCCAGTGTACCCAGTCCCAAGGTCCGGCCTTGGGGCTGCCAGTCCGAAACAGCACCTGAACACACAAAAATAAGACAGCACACACACAAAAAAAAGGTAAGTAAAATAAACCTATCTACCTAGTGTGCTGCCTAGGGCCTGGAGGGCCGCCGTGGGCCTCCAGGGCGCGTGCTGGATGGTATGCGGCCTGGGGGCCCCTCAGCAACCGTCAGGCCCCTCAAATGGGGCCCGTGTGCAGGCGCAGCATGTAACAAACACAGAGGCACATTGACTGCAATTATAGAGGCATTGCCATTCCAGGCCCTGTCTACAAATTGGACATGACATGTTAGGGTCCCGTACATGAGTACAGTACTGAATGCTGTCCTACGTACGGAAGCAAAAACTATCCCTTCATAATCCTCACGGCACAAGGCATGCGGACCACATGCTAGTTGAATCTCCAGCGGGCCATCACAATGCGGCATGGAGCATCTTTCTTGGGCTATTCCTTCTCTATGGGCAGACGACGACAGGGATAATCGGTCCAAAGCAAGGGCGTTCAGCTTCTGCAGGATTTGGTCCGCAACAACTTGCGGATAGTCTATTTTGCTCCTCAGACTGCTGTGTCTGTCGCTCGTTTGGCAAGAAAGAGGGAGATCCGTCAGCGGTTGTCGTAGGTGTATGACCAACACCGCATCTGGGACATGCTAGGAGAGGATGTGGAGGGTGTTGGCACTGGGGATAGTCCACGCAGTAAAGACATACTTTCTATGACAGATTCCAAGCATTGACGACATATCGCATGTTGCTGACATGTCGTTAATATGGAAGGCTGACGTGCACAGTTATTTAAGCATGGCAGATCAAGGCCACAACTGCATGCTGGGCAAGTAATCCAGGGGTGAGGGGGATGAGCACAGGACAGGGGATCACAGTTTTCGTGTGAGAGGTTAGCAGTGACCATCCCGTCATATTGTTCGGAGCAGAATGAGCCCGATTGCTCTCCGGGGGGTGAATGCTTGCAAGTGCTCATTGACATACTGTTCCTGATGGACGAACCAGACTGAATGATACTGCCGCATTTGGTGATAGAAAGAGTTCATATATCCCACTGCGTGCACCCTACCGCCATTGTCCCATAGGTTCCATGAATTACCTGCAAAGGTAAGAGCACTGAAATGACCTGGACGATATAAGATATATGCCCGAATATTCGTATCCCTGCCTGGCACGTGGTTTTGCGGAGCAGGGTGGAATTGCAGTCGCCTACCCATAAATGCCATAGCCAGGACTTCTACGTTCACACCAGGTGCAGCGCTGTGGTCCTATGGGCAGACGGCACCGTGCTCTTCTTCTATCCAGCAAACAACGTCTGCGAAATCAGAAACAGTATAAGGATTACAATAGGAAGCAAGGAGACATACATTAATGACATAGTACTCACAGCGCCCTCGCTGTAGCGCTACGACATTGTCTGATTCCGCAGGTTGCGTGGGGGATACGCTCACAGCAGGGAGAGACTCGTTCAATTCTGCGGGTTGCACTGGTGGCGGAGACTCGTTGTGGTGTTGACCAATTGGCTCCGGCCTGTGCTCCCGAGAGAGATGATCTTCATCTGGGCGCTCCATCAGGCAATCAGGAGACGGGTCATTGTCATTTGGGGCAGGGGACCAAGCGGGGCTAGGTGGATGCGAGAGGGGCAGG